CCTGTGATGATGAGAGGGCAGAGTTGACATGAAGGGTTTTGTGGGCTATGGTTAAGTCTTGGTACCCTGCATTATCACCATATTAATGGCTGTGCATGCCAACCTGAGAGAGCTGTAATTCTTTGGACTTCTTATTGCTATTACATATTGAAATGTTTACAGCAGGAACTTGATTTAAATATTTATGAATTTTACATGATGTTTAGTAACTGAACTGTTAACTTTTACTTACATACTTATAACTGAGGAGAAGGGAATTGATAAGGAGCAGGATCTGTTGGGAAATTAACTAGAGTAAACCAATTGAACAGGAGCTGATGCTCTGGCTCAAGGTACAAATTAGCTGAAAAAATTATTAGGGGTGTTTCGGACTGGAAATTAGTTGGCTTGTATTCTAAATTCTTCTCCATACATGCAGGTCAGCATATGCAAATTTGTACCTAAGGGCCTATGTCCCTGAATCATTAAGTAACTTGCAACATCCGTGGTTGCAGCCCAAGCTAATCAAGTCACAATACAGCACGACCAGCATACAATAAACAATCATAAGTGGATAATCAAATGCAAGTTTGGACTAAAATGATGTCTGAAAAGACAGAAGACTGTTGCTTGGGGGAACTATATTCCAAAGGAACTATTGACTCTTGCAAAATTTCCAGTATACTCCTATTGCAACCAGTTCTCTCATGCCCCACTCTCCAAAAAGTAATCAATGCCTAAAAGCATTTCATATTAGAGAAACAAAAATGGAACAATCTGGAAACAAGATTTGGGTTTCAGCTGGGTGGAGCAAGACTTCCAGGAGAAACATGCATTTGCTGCCTTTCAACATGTGAAGCAGCCCAGAATCAAAAAGTGAACCATCTCCACACAGTCACCACTTCCAGCAACCCTACAATCTTTTACAAGTGGACAGCTCCTTTAAATGCATAAAATAAAAAGAGCTTTTGACATAGATGTTAGCTGTAGTACGATTTCAACAGCGTAGCAACAGAAAAACTTTTTTAAAAAAACCTGTATTTGTCTTTGCAGTGTAAGAACTTCTGGACTTAGACTACTGCCGAAAAATTGCACACAAAGTGCATGATTTCAGGAGGGTGCAGGATCCAGAACGCCCCTAGGTCATTTGGTGGGATTATATTTCCTATGCTTTGGACTTAGATGTTTAGCATTCACCATCCAGAGCAGCTTGAGAAATATGGATGCCTTTATTTGTATTGGTGTGTCACCGAACCTCTTGGGCTTGCTGATCAGAAGGTTGGCAGCTCGAATATACACGATGGGGTGAGCTCCCATTGCTCTGTCCCAGCTTCTGCCAACCTAGCAGTTCAAAAGCATAGCAGCGCAAGTAGATAAATAGGTATAATTGCGGCAAGAAGGTAAACAGTATTTCCGTGTGCTCTGGTTTCTGTCACAGTGTTCAGTTGCGCCAGAAGTGGCTTAGTCATGCTGGCCACATGACCCAGAAAGCTGTCTGTGGACAAACGCCAGCTCCCTCGGCCTGAAAAGTGAGATGAGCACCACAACCCCATAGTCACCTTTGATTGGACTTAACCATCCAGGGGTCCTTTACTTTTTTTAAACCTTATTATTATTATTATTATTTGTTGTTTTTGTTTCCTGTATACCCTGGTAAATGGTAATACCCTGCTACTACACTTTTGGGTTGTTGAAAAAAGAAAAAGCTAAAAATAATCAAATTTACACTGATGAAATGGTAAGTCCTAGAAGATACTCAAATTCATCTGGACTGGGATTCCCCAGTGTATCTGTTCACAAAATCCAGTGAAAGATCAAATGAGACTCATTGGTGTCTATTGGGTAGCAGGGGCCTGACCTTCTACAGAACCATAAACTTAGCAGGAAGTTTCTGAACAGAATGCATTCAAGTAATGGGGGGGGGGTGAACTATGTCACCTGTGGAGAGTTAAAATCATCTCCATATGACCAGGTAAAGGAGCTTGTATAAACTAGAAGTACTGGCTTTCTCCCTCTTTTCCAAGGCCATTATAAGGTAACTAATATTAAGTGTGTATGTCAGCAAATGAATTAGTAGCAATTCCTTCTGCACAAAAATAGCAGAGTTAACTTGAAAATTACACACATTTAACTTGTGCACGTTCAGCTTTACATGCTTGGCAAAATAATTTTTAAAAATTAAAGGGGGCGCATTCAGGAGAAAAAGACTTTGGGAATCTCATTTGCCATTGAACCCAATGTGTTTTGATTATGCACAATGTTGGCTTTACGCGCTATCTCTCGACCATAACCCCAGCGTAAGTTGAGACTCATCTGCACTACAAGGTACATTAGTGGAAAATCAAGCAAGAGGGAATTTCACAAGATCCAAACCTCTGAAAGGAGCAAGCCAAAAATGTCTGAGAATTCCCTGTCAGGGATGGGAAAATCCTGGAACTGCTGCATTTTTGCATAAGCAATTGCTGCCAGTTACATAATTAATAACATATGCATGAGGCACCTTGCATGAAATGGTTCAGTTGCACGTGATACTCAACAGGATTCACTAGGGAGAACTCATCCTGGGAGCAACTGGCACCGCACAGTCCCTCAGCCCTTGCAGACTTTCCCCTTCCAAGTAGAAACAGAATTCTGAAAATAGCCATTTTGATGCAAGAGCTGTGTGTGTATACATTTAAAAATTCATATGCAGAGACAGCCTTCTATGGAGAGCTGGCATTCAGGAGGAGCCACATTCAAAATGCTTTAGAGGGGACATGGGTGGCTACACTCACATGTCTGAGAAATTTGAGACAACTAAGATAAGGGACAGGGAATAGGTGCGTCCCAAGGATAAATTTTCCAAGTTGTCATCCCTGTCCCTTCCCCATTCAAAGGGGAAAGGGCTGCATTTTTAAAAGCCTTTCCAGAAGTATGGTAAAATCTCCCAGCCTCAAAAACGACACAGTGCAGGCCTAGGGCAGCAAAATTAAGTTTCCCCTGGAGCGGCAATATTGCTTGACCCTGCCTTGTTCACAAGAGTTGTTTGTTTACATACATCAGTGTTAAACTAAATGTTTCCCTATTAAGCGGCGGGGGCGGTGGAGCTATCAACCACCCTGCTGCTGATTCCATTACACACACAAAACCCACCAAAACTACAAGTGAAACATTACAAGAAATCGGAACTCCTGTCCAAGAATCAAGAGCCAGTATAGGAACACCCTAAACAAACTCAGTTTGCTTCCATTCCAAAGTCTTTCACCATCCGGATTTATGGGGTAGTTTCAACATTACGGTTTCAAAGTTTCCTACACTCAGATACATCTGTTGTAGCCTTTGGCAACTTGGTGCTCTTCAGGAAATGCTGTCTGGAGCGAACGGAAGTTCAAGCCCCAACATCTGGAGGGCACAAATGTAACCAGATATGTTAAATGGTGAACAACTTCAGCATTGTAAGTTTAGAACTGTTTTGATGGAGCTAAACAATAAAACTGTTGATAGCACCGCCACCAGCATAACAAAACTAAAACACAACAATGATCCAAAGCCATTGTGCATAATTTCTTGTCTTCCTTATTCACGGTAACTGGAACCTACAATTCATCACTGGTACAAAATGATCCTCTTAAGGCAGGTTAGGAAACCTGTAGGATTCCAGATGTTGCTGGACTCTATCCCTCAACAGCATGGCCAATAGTAAGCAGTGATGAGAATTATACTCAAAAACACTGGGAGGGCCGCAGGTTCACTGACTCCACCACTATCCCAAGCTCTAGGCCCTCATTTTATCTGGACTTCTGATACCAGCAGATTCTTCCACCACCCCACTTCTCATTTGACATGTCAACCAAGAAAGATTATAGGTTCTTCAGGAAGGAACAGTATATTCCAGCTTTCATCAACCTGGTTCACCCCCGAAATGTTGGACTACAATTCCCATCAGTCCTGACCAGTATGGCTAAGCTCCCATCACGTTTTAGAACCTTGCAGCTGTGCAGGCTATTGCCTGCTACCCCGTTGGCACACGCTGGTCTACGTAATGTACCTAAAATGTTCTCAATACAAGATGTACAATGAGACTGAGATGGGTGAGTGCCAGGCTGAGCTTCCAGGACTCCTAGAGTCATTCTAGCATTATACAGCCGCCACATTTTTTCCCTATAGTTTGGCTTCCATGCTTCCCTAGGGGAAGGAGGTGTGTAAAGTACCATCTCCAGATACAGAATACAAATATGATTTGCAGATAGGTAGCAAGACTAGAGAAATGAATACTATGATTCCGAAAAATACACTGCTTGCAAGCAACAGGGTTAATTGGCCTGCACACTAAAGAGGAGGGGAGAGGGAGGTTTTTAAACGTTCAAAATAGGATCAAAATGTGTGTGTGTGTGTGTGTGTGTGTGTGTTCCTGTTCTTAATAGGCTGCTGCTAAGGAACCGGGAGGCTCTAAGACTTCCAAGCCGCTCTGATGCTCAGAGAGACCAAAATCGCACATCTCCTCCTCGTGGGTGAATGTATACACTGCCGCTATTATTTACTATCAGGCGCCGGCAGCACGCTCGGCGCTGTACACGTTTCGCTGTTGTTTTTGTTGTCATTGCTCGGGGAATTCAGAGTAGCTTTTGCAACTGTGGGAAGTTTTCAAGCAGCGAGGAGCGGTGGCAGGAAACCGGCACCATAGCTGTCAACTTTTCCCTTTTCTTGCGAGGAATCCTATTCGGAATAAGAGAATTTCCCTTTTAAAAGGGAAAAGTTGACAGCTATGACCGGCACTGAGGCGATGGACTCCACACCGCAACCCTAAACCAGGGGTGTTGAGAGGGTGGCCCGCCGATCAAGCTCCCCAGCGGAACTTTTGAAGGAAGCATCGTACCTCCCACCCCCTCCAAAACCCCCACACCTTTTTACTACCATCTACTTCTGGCCCGCCTACCTAGGCTCCCCTAAATCCAGCAGGCCGGAGTGTCAGCGCTGTTAGCTCTCTCCAACCGCGCATGGGTCTCCCCTAACCCTTGCAGCCGCCCCTTACCGACGCTCACCTGTTTTAAACTTCAGCGAGGGGTCTTCGGCGGCCCCGTCGTCCTGCAGCAAGACGTAGAGCATCCCGAAGGAGTTGTGGATACCGAAGATGGAGCCGTTGCACCAGGTGGCAGCCAGGACCACCACCCAGCCGAAGCCTCCTTCGGGGGGCGTGAAGCCCTGCGCCGCGGCCCCCGGAGGGCCCCCTCTGGCCACCACAGCGCCGCCAGCCGCGGCTTCCCCTCCTTCGCCCTCCTCCCCTTCGTCTTCCAGGGCCCCCTTCTCTGACAGCGCTTGCTCCTGACTCCGCAGTGCCATCGCGCCCGCCGGTCGAGCTCCTCGGATCGGCAAGAGGAGGAGGAGCTGGTGCTGGTGCTTTGGCTGCTAACGCTGTAGCTCGCTTGCAAGCCGGTCCCTCACGCCTCCTCCTGCTCCGCTGCCTGCCTCTCCTCCTCGGTCTCCTCCTCTAGCTTCCCCCGTAGTCATCCCGCCGCCGCCGCCGCCTCCTCCTCCTGCTGCCGCAGCGAGAGGGACCCTCCCCCTCCGCGTCCAGCCCAGACAAGCCTCGCCACGCCCCTCCGCCTTGCCGAGCTGCCTCCCGCCTGGATCAAAACACGCGCGGCTCTGCTTGGAGACGCTCACGGCGGGCGGGCGGGCGGGGAGGCAGCGCGTCCGGAACTGTTGTCCCCGCCGCTGCTGCCACTGCTGCCGCCGCCGTGCACGGCCCCGATTCTCCACCGGAAGCTGCCTCGGGGGTGTCACGTCTCCGTCCTACCGGAGGGTGGTAGGCTGTTTGTGCAAAAGGAAGGAGGCCGCGGAGGATGCGAGCGATGGGGTCGCCCCCCACCCGCTCTGCAAAGGTACCGCTCCGGCGGTTGCAATCTGGGCTCAGCCCAGCTGTCAATCCCCAGAATGTATTGGTGGGCCTTGCCTCTGAATACGAATGGCATAGGAGTGCAGCACCTGCAGCCAAGGGGTGGGGGGGGGTGTTGGGGGCCTTTGTTTTCCTCCAAGGAAACCGAGGGGGAGAGTAATGGCAGCCCTCGCCCACCAGGAGAAACAACAACTGCGCGCACTTGCAGCTCCTCTTAAATCATGGTAGGATTTAGGAGGAAAAATTCGAGCGGCCGCGTCTCGGCTGGGGGGAGGCAGGCGATTCGGGGGCTCTGGAATCGCCCCCTCACTTGTCTAGGTGTCCCGTTTCCCCCTGCCCGCAAGGTTGCGGCGTGGTGTGTTCACCGAGGCTTCGCCGACGACCGGAGGCGACAGATTAACCCCGAGATTGGGAGAATCAGGGATAATCCACGCGCGCCCCCCCTCCATGACAGCAGTGGGTTAGGTTGCTAAATGGGTGAAATGGCGTCTAAAATATAGGTCACCTTATTGTAGGGTGAAAAATGCTTGCGCGTGTAAAAAAATGTTTCGCCACCACTACTCAGTGTCGTAGTAGTAGAAAACTGGTCTTGAGCGCGTGATCAGACACGTTTGGAGGAATGGAGAGAGTGTAAGTCCCCAAAAGTGAAGGTGAGCAAAGCAATTCCTGTCCTGCCTGAGCGGATGCATGATTCCCCGCCCCCCACGCCGCTGCCACTCTTCAGCAATGACACACCGGGGAGTAAGCCCCACTGAGCACAGCAGGGCTTACTTCTGAGCAGGTATGGAGAGGATTGTGCTGTTCGGTTTCGCCCCACGCTGCTCACTAGCACTCTAAACATACTTACTTGGGAATACAACGGGCCTTCCAAATAAACGTACCCAGTCTACATTAAGCCAGCAGGCTTGGAGCAAACGAGGATTCCCCACTACCTCCGCCCAGGCATCTGCTTGGCACATATTGCGTCCTCCTCATACAACAAAACAAATTTCAAAGAAGGTGGGACATTTTCAAGAGCTGGGTAGCTTATTTTATCTTTTCTTTAAAATAAAATAAAAAGTCTCCTATTGAGTGGGCTCAGTGAAAGAGGAAGGGGAGAAAGATTTAGCAAAATGGCTCCTTCCTACTACCTTCTTTCCTTCCTACTCCCCCCCCCCATCAGTAAACAGGTTGATGCCTTTGAGATGGGGGGGGTGTTTCGCAAGCAGTGTGCCCACGCGCATTTACTTCCACAGAAGACCATGTGAAGCTCTCGCATTTTGATCCATCATAATAAATTGTTGTTATATTGTTACTGCTTTTATTTTGTTACTGATTGCTCTTGTGAGATGGCTGCAGCATTTCCCCCCAGGCAACACACACGCCTGCCTTCAGAAGATCCATAAGGATTGAAATCTCATGGGGCAGCAGCTGCTGCTCCAGACCTCCCTGCCCTGTATGTGAGGGCAGCAACCTGAGTCCTTTTCCCCTCTCCCACCAGCAGCAGATGACATTTGGATAAGGAGGCAGAGCGATCTGAATGCTGCCTCCTTGACTCTCAGGTGTCTGCCAGACTCAGACCCTGAGGAGTGGGAGCCAGAGGCTGGCTGGTGGTGCTGTGACTGGGAAAGGATGGGCACCCACCCAGTGGGTCAGGGGAAATCGGGATGGCTGTGCCAAGTGTCTCAGCAGTGAACTCTGGTGGTTTAAGGAAGGGGTTGGGGAGCTATAAATGCAAGACCTCTTACCACGCCAGGAAGAAAATAGCTCCCCTCCCCTTGATTTCTGCTGTGAACCTTTGTTGTTTTTTCTGCTTCCCCTGCGAAACCCCAAAGTCCTGACAGCCCATTGGAAGCAGCTTTCACTTCCCTCTAGGGAGCCAAGGGGCCATGCAGCCCCTCCCCTTGGGATCAGGGAGCGGTACTCCCCCCCCACACACACACACAAGGAAAAAGCAAAGAGCACTCCTAGAAAGCTTAGCAAAAGGTAAAATAAAATGGAAGCACAACAACCATTTCACTGCTGACCTCACCTAGAAGAGATAGATTTGAGTGTGAGTGTGTCTGTGTGCCTGAAACATTCTCCACCTCTTCACTCACACACAGAGAGAGGTACTCAAACTGACCTTTCTGCTATGGTTTACAAGAAGGCCTAACCAGCACTATGACATCCGAATGGTGGAAGGGCACCGGTGGCGGGAGGCCTCATTAGGGAAAGCATAGCTCAGTTTAAGAACAGTTTTGGTTTAAGAACGGACTTCCGGAACGGATTACCGTATGTTTGTAAACTGAGGTATCACTGTACTGTATATATCTTCCCTTCAATAAATATTCCCTGGGAGACTTACAAGCAAAACAGTGTTAGAAACAGTGTTATATATGATAATATATGAAAATCAAGAAGAAGAAATAGACCACATAGTTTTACAGGCTGTATTCAGCTACCCTTAGGTCAGAATAATCTGTGCTTAATTTAAACTAGGATTAAACTTCATGCCACTATTAAATGACCCTTTCTTCGACCCTTTCTTTGATTCAGCAAAGCACTCAAACTTGAAACACCATCCATGGCTCTGGTATGCATATCTCAAAAAGAATATGGTAGAGCTGATAAACATCAGCAAAAGGCAACCAGAATTATCAATGGACTAGAGCAAACTCCCCAAGGAAAGGTTACAACTCCTGGTCTTTGTTTTTTATAGATTAGGAGGGAAATGAATGAGAGAGACATGGCAGAGGATTCAGTAGAGACTGAATCCATCCAGGCAAATGAAGGGCTGCTATGCCAACCCCATATATGTCCACTTGACTGCTTTGATCGGTGGACTTGGAACTATTACAGATGCCACATAATACCCATTCTGCATTGGTAAGAACTCAAATATTTTAGTGTAGCAGCACCTACACCCTGGAACTCCCTGCCTATTGACATCAGGCAGGTGTCTTCACTGTGCGCTTTTCTGCACCTGCTAAAAACATTGCTTAGGCAAGCCTGCCCAGGTGTTAGAGATGGGTTGAATCTGCTTTTAGTCTGTTTTAACTTTTCAAAAGCCTTTAATTATTGTTATTTTTATTACTGATAATTTTATTGTTTTATCCTTTTTGTAAACCTCTTTAAGGGATGTTGCTTTTCTCTCTCTTTTTTACAAACAAGCGGTGTACAAATTTTATGGAATAAATTATAAATAAACCTGAGTCTGCACTCAGTCACTCCCCACCTGCCTGCCTTCTTAAAACTAGTCCAGTTGAGGTAGGGGAGACACTGTCAGCATCCCCCTCTTAATATTGTCTCTTCTAGAAGTAAGCAGAGGTGGGTGGGAAGGTGGGCTGGAATTAGTTGGCTCCACCCATCATTGGCTCTGCTGGGTTCTCTGCCTCTCCCTGCCAGTTTTGCATTGTATGTGGGAAATGGATAGACATTTTTCTCCCTCTGAATGGAAATGGAGGAAGATTCAGTACAAAGAAAAGGAAGGCTGTCTTCACGCTTCACATAGTTAAACTATGGAATGCCCTCCCACATGACATCATGAGATAAAATGGGATTATTCATGCAGGATAAGTTTATCAATGACTACCAATGTTGGTAGGGACACAGGTGGTGCTGTGGTCTAAACCACAGAGCCTTGGGCTTGCTGATCAGAAGGTTGGCGGTTCCATGCACTGCTCTGGTTCGCCAGAAGTGGCTTAGTTATGCTGGCCACATGACCCGGAAGCTGTCTGCGGACAAACGCTGGCTCCCTCGGCCTATAGAGAGAGATGAGCGATGCAACCCCAGAGTCTGCGACTGAACCTAATTGTCAGGGGTACCTTTACCTTTATCAATTTTGGTGGCTGTATGCTACCTCCAGGTAGATCTCTGAATTCCAGTTGCTGGGGAATCTGTTACCCTCAACTCTGACTTGTGGGTTCCCCCCACAGGCATCTGGTTGGCCACAATGCTGGACATGAAAGGCCTTGACTTGTGTCTGATCCAGAAGAACTCACTCTTTCTTTTCTTTCTTTCTTTCTTTTGCTCTTAAAGTTCATCTGGCTTGGAAATCTGACATCCATGCTGTTTTCCTAAAACACTCTGCCTGGAATTAAACCAACACAAACACTACCAAGAAAGGGAACCCACCCCACGCCCAAAGCTGCAAGCTCTTCTATTGCTCCACCTCCAGAGCTTTGTGATTACACACATTTGTAGGGCTGGACTTAGCTATTGCTTGATAGATGAACCTATCATTTATTTAGCAAATACAAAGGTTGCACAGTCTGGCCAAAGAACCATTGTCCCAGGGTTGAAGAAAGCATTGCATGCAAGCACAGGCATGTGTAATAAAAAGCAAGGGGTGGGATCTAATATTAAATGCAAAGCATTGTGGAGAGGAAGGTATTTGAAGTGGAGGGGTAGTGGAAGTACTTAACTCTTTCCCCAACACAGGATTCACAGGTTATGTTTACAAACTGAAATACAAACATCCACCTCAAAAAATGCAATGGAAAATTACCCATTTTTACCCAGCATTTAAATGCCACCAGGAAGATGGACATACCTCCTATAGCAGAGGGTTCACAGCCTGGGGCCCTCTGCCATCAACAGGACATGGAGCAAGTCCCTCCATTCAAACCCTGAACTGGTGGGCAGGATGACAAACATCTACCTTTCCCTCAGGACTTTCCCCAAGCTGTGTCCCTTATTAGTCCTTTCCGCATACACACACCCTGAGCGCTTTTGCCTGGCATCACTGCACTGTGATAATGCCTCTTGCTTGTCTGGATGGCGAGAGATATCTATAGAGTGTTTGCATGTATGTGTAGAATCCTCTGACTTTTGCATGGCTAGAATACAACCTGTGGCCCCAGGCTAGGTGTCACATCTGTTGCTATGGCCACTTTTGCCTCTGGCCACACCCATCGCTGGTACGTGCTCCCTTAGAGGTCTTCCACCAGAAAATCTGGCTCCCAGGCTGAAAAGGATTCCTCATCCAGATTTAAACACCAAACAACACTGAATTGGGCCTGAAAGCCAACAAAAAGCCAGTGAATAATGCACTGATGTTACAGTATTTGCACCACCTGACCTGCTCTGGTTAAAATTCTCATAGCTATTTTTTGGTGGCCTGTACATGGTACTTTTCAGCATTATTCAAAGGCAGTCCTACATAAAAATCTGGGAGCTTTATATAGTAGGAATGGATTATTGCATACCCTCTGTGTGTCCTGATTTTCCAGGAACAACCCCAGAATTACAAAAGCCGTCCTGGCTTTTGATTTGATGCTGGAATGTCCCTATTTCCTCTGCCAGTGCTGCTGCTACTGAGCTCAGAGAGGAGAATGACCCGCCGCTTGTTCTGAGGGATGGTGGCGGCGGCTGCTGCAGCTGCAGGAAAGCATTCTGTTGCCTCTCCGTGGCCACCAATGCTGACCTCCCTTGGGCAGCTCATAGCAGCTGCTGGAGAATGGGCAAGGCAGAAGAGAGGCTGCCACTGCCTAGGCCCAGCCCTGCATGACGTGCAGAGCCCCTGAGGCACAGGGAGAGGGCAAAGCCCTCCAAGCAGGAAGAAAGGGAGGAGCGGAGCACAAAGGTTCTTGGTTTTGTGGTTTTTTGTTTGTTTTTTAAATGCTTTGTACATTTGTGTCTAATCATTCCCCTTTCTAAAATTTATTTATTGGTGTGTTTTTATTTTTGAAATCTCTCAGAGAATAAAATAAAATCAGGATTAAGTGTGCTGTGTCCCTTTGCTGTAGCAGTGGCGGCTCCCCCCCCCCCAATTTTCTGATAGGAAATGCTCTGCCAGGTGGAGGGACAAAAAATGGGGGGGGGTCAGTTGCAGGGGGAGTGAGAAATGTCCCTATTTTCATCTGAGGAATGCTGGAGGGTATGTTGTTCTTTTTTTACCATCATTCTATTAATTGCCTTCTAACTACCATCTGATTTACACACCCCAAAATTAAAAACTCTTTAAACACACACAAAGCAAAACTAGGAACCTAACGTATGGACACTTGTGATAAAGACCCATTTATCCAGCTGGGGAAGCCTATTGGCAGGGCTGGTCAAAGACATGTTGGCACCTGGGGCAAACCACAGAACAGGGCCTCCCCACCCACCAGGGACAAAAGGGTGAATGAAGACCTACCTCAGGAACAAGGGTGGTGGGGAAGAGGGAGGGCAGCAGCAGTAGCAACAACAGGTAACACTGTCCTTGGAGGTCAGATCTGCTGCCCCTATGCATCCTTTTGACTGAAGCGGTCACCTTACCTGCTCTCATGGGTGGGCTAGACCTCACTGTAGGAACAAAAATGTCTTCAAATGTTTCCAAGAAGTGCAGACAGTGAGTGCCTGTTGTATCTCAATAGGAATGCAATTAGTAGTAGTAATAGTAGTAGTAGTAGTAATATTTATTTATATCCCATCTTATCCCCAGACCAGGACTCAAGATGGCTTACACAGATTAAAACAACACAGAAAAAATACAAAAAGCTAAAAACATACAAGAATGTAAGAAGAGGCTGCTGGATCAGGCCAGTGGCTCATCTAGGCCAGCTTTCTGTTCTCACAGTGGTCAACCAGATGCCCATCGGAAACTGGCAAGCATGTCCTGGGCACAAGAGCACTCTGCCCTCTTGTAGTTTCCAGCAACTGGTATTCAGAAGTATTGCTGCCTCCAGCCACGGAGGCCAAGCATCGCTATCATGGCTAGTAGCCATTTATAATCTTATACCCTTCATGAATTTGTCCAATCCTCTTTAAAAATCTATCTGAACTAACATTTGCAGGAGTTGAGTCTGAAGAACTAAGACAGGTAGCAGTGACAAGAGATGACATTCTAGGCCTAACAGACAAAATAAAAACTGACAAACCATCGGGTCCAGATGCCATCTACCCAAAAGCTCTCAATGAACTCAGATGTGAATTTGCCACTCTTCTAACGAAAGTATGTACCATGTCCGTCAGATCAGCCTCCATACCTGAGGACTAGAAAGTAACCAATGTAATGCCAATTTTTATTTATTTATTTTTTTAAAAGTTTTTATTGCGTTTTCAGATACAAAGTCAGAAGTATAAAGTACATGAAGAAAAAAGAAAGAAGCAAAAAGAAAAATAGAAAAAAATCCAACTTTCAGAAACATTTTTACATTACCAACCGGACTTCCCCACGTCTCCCTCACCCTGCGTTCCTTTCAATAAACATATCAGCAAATTATTACCTTGTTTCATACCTTACTTGTATCTTTCAAATATTATTCTTCTAAATTTAAAGTACCTTTTGTCAATAACTTGTACCTTAAAATAAACATAATATAACTTTAAATTTCAACCTTTTCTTACGTTTTTATCTTAATTTCCTGCTCACCAAATCTAATTGCTGAAGCTAAGTAATGCCAATTTTTAAAACAGGGATCTAGGAGAGATCCTGGAAATTATAGGCTGGTTAGTTTAATGTCTGTCCCCGGAAACCTTCTGGAAAGCATTGTTAAAGATAAAATAACCAAGCACACAGAAGAACAAGACTACTGAAGTCGAGTCAGTATGGCTTCTTCAAGGGAAAGGCCTGTCTCACAAACCTATTGGAGAGCCAGTGGTGTAGTGGTTAATCTGTAGTCTCGTAATCTGGGGAACCGGGTTTGCACCTCCGCTCTTCCACATGCAGCTGCTGGGTGACCTTGGGCCAGTCACACTTCTTTGAAGCCTCTTAGCCCCACGCACCTCACAGAGTGTTTGTTGTGGGGGAGGAAGGGAAAGGAGAATGTTAGCCGCTTTGAGACTCCTTAAAAGGAGTGAAAGACGGGATATCAAATCCAAACTCTTCTTCTTCTATTGGAATTCTTTCAGCGTCTCAACAAATAGGTATATGTCAGGCATGTACAACTTCCAAGAGACTGCGATCTACTCCCACTAAATAAAAACTGGCAGTGATCTACCCACTGTATTGACCAAGGTAGTTGAGCTTTTTGGGGGGAGGAAGACCCAATGTTGTTGACCTTTGGGGGGTCGGGGAAGCGATCTATCAGGATCATGCAATCGTCCAGGATCGATCAGGGACGACCCTGATGTATACAGTGGATTCATATTGGGACCGGTCCTTTTAAGCTTATTCATATACGATCTTGAGTCAGAAGTGAGCAGTGAAGTGGCCAGGTTTGCTGATGACACTGAATTGTTCAGGGTTGTTAAATGAAAAGAGATTGCAATGAGCTCCAGAATGACCTCTCCAAACAGGGTGAATTAGCGGTAAAGAGGCAAATGCCATTCACTGTAAACAAGTGTAAAGTGATGCATGTTGATGCAATAATAATAATAATTTTATGTACACCCTCATGGGGTCTGAACTGGAGGTGATGGAGCAGAAGCAAGACCTTGGTGTCATAGTAGATAGCTTGATGAAGATGTCAACCCAGTGTGCAGTGACTGTGAAAAGGCAAACTCCATGCTTAGGGATCATTAGGAAAGGAATTGAAAATAAAACAACCGGTATCATAATGTTGTTGTACAAATCCATAGTGCAACCATATTTTGAGTATTGTCTACGGTTCTGGTTGACGCACCTCAAAATGAATATTGTAGACAGCAGGTGCCGCTGTGGTCTAAACCATTGAGCCTACAGCTTGCCAATCAGAAGGTTGCGGTTCAAATCCCTGCGACAGGGTGAGCTCCCGCTGCTCGGTCCCAGCTCCTGCCAACCTAGCAGTTCAAAAGCACATCAAAGTGCAAGTGGATAAATAGGTACCGCTCTGGCGGGAAGGTAAACAGTGTTTCCGTGCGCTGCTCTGGTTCCACCAGAAGCGGCTTAGTCATGCTGGCCACATGATCCTGAAAAAAACTCTGCAGACAAATGTCGGCTCACTTGGCCAGTAAAGCGAGATGAGCGCCGCAATCCCAGAGTCGTTCACAACTGGACTTAACTGTCAGGGGTCCTTTACCTTTGTAGACTTGGAAAAGGTGCAGAAAAGGGCCACCACCCTGTCTCATATCACTAGATCTCGTGGACATCCAATGAAACTGAAGGTTGGAAGCATGGACAGAGAAAAGAGAGCACTTCATGCAGCACACTGTTAGACTTCGGTACTCGTTGCCACAGGAGACAATGATGACCACCAACATAAATAGCTTGAAAAAACAAATTCATGGAGGAGAGGACTACCAATGCCTACCAGCCATGATGGCTATGCTCTAGTCCCACAGTTGGAGGCAGAAATGCTTCCAGATGCCAGTTGTTGGAAACAACGGGAATGCACAGTCTCTTGTGCTCAGGTCCTGCTCAGGTCACAGGCATCTTGGCTGGCCACTGTGAGAACAGGATGCTGGACTAGATGCGTTATTCTTATGTTCTTATGTTAAGTTGGTGGCCATCACTGCCCCTGTGGAAAGTAGTAAAAACATAATTTAACTATGTAACTTCCTTTTACCTGTCCTGAATTTTCCAGCTATCTTCCAACTTGAGGAAGCCCGCTCTAGGAGGAACTAGTAGTGACTCTGATTAATGCTTTTTATAGAGCAGGGTAGGGGGCATTGGGGATGAGCTTATGGAACCAATGGGGCATTGGTCTGAAAAAGGTTGGGAGTCACTGTACTAACCCATAGCCAGTTCCAAAACTGAAGCTCACCTGCCTCAGTGTGCTTCTTAGCATGTGGGCTGTTGCTGTTATCTACTTGCCCTCTGCTGGCTAGAACTGCCCAGATTGAAAGAAGAGGTCATGAGAGGTACAATAGGCAGAACCACCACCTGGCACTCGCTCTGTCTTGCTTGTCTTTCCAAGAGCCTGGGCTGGTTCCCACCCTCACAGCATTTATTGGCAATACTCTCACCTAGAAGTGCTGTTTGTGAGAACTGACACTACCTTTGGGAGCTGTTCCATGCTTGTTCGTTTGCTTAATCAATTTATTATAACATTATGTTCTAGGGTTCTACCCTTCCTCATTTTATCCTCATAACAACCATTGGCAGTGGTAGAGTAGGGAGCAGCAGGCTCATTCACCCCTGCCAAGGTTGCTTTTAATTAATCCATTTTAAATTGGGAGGTTTGATTGCAGTTCTGCCACCATCACATCCAGTGCAAAACATACATCACCTGTGGAGCTCAGCACTCAGACTTTCAGTCCTGCAACTTGATTGCCTATTTAGTAAAACAAACAAATAAACAAACCTCATAGTCACTGAGATTAAGTTCTTCTGTTAAGTCCTGGATTCCCTTTAGGTAGCACTTTAAAGCAGTGCCTGGGGGTCACACAGAGGGGTGGGTGGGAGGGACGGAAATGGATGGAGTGCACATGCACATTGAACTGCCCAATGGCGTCCACGTCACCCTGGAGATTGCAGCTGCAGAGATAAGAAAAGAAGAGACACTCCTTTGTCTGGAGAGGTCACTTCCTGGTTCACATTGAGAAGCCATTTTCAACAGAACCCAGTGCCAGAAGCACACAGCTGTATTGAGGCAGCACCAGGTGTTGAAATTTTGCACCCCCTAACAATTTTGTGGCCAGGGCAACTGCCCCTGTGCCCCCCCATGGTATGCCACTGCTTCAAAGCAAAGCTATTGTGATAGAACAAGTCAGTGCCAGCAAGGTTAGCCCCAAACTCATAAGCTCGTTGACTTTTAAATTATAGGGATTTGTGGGGTGAAGCGACAAATGAAATATAGTTGGATCTTTGGTCCAAAGAAACAGATTACTAATACCTGCTTCCTTCCTGTAACCTGCCTTGTGTAACTCTGACTTCGGAACAATGCATTGATGTCTCTCGAAGGCTATTGTGTCACAATGCAAATATTTTGTATTTCACCTCTGGAGAAAGGTGTTCTTCTTATGTTCATTGCATCTGCTTTCGTCAACGGTAACGTCAGCTGCAAAGTTTGTTTGGTTTGGAAATACATCTAATTTTGCAGAGCCAAGTGGGCAAAACAAATCAAAATGTCATGATCATCATACAAACATCACAGGAAGCTGAACATCATGGCATACCGTAGTTAAAGGAATACAAATTCTAAAAGATTTTTTTTAAAAGAAAAAAGTTAATTCATCTTTAACATAGCACTGATTTCTGCTGATTGTTCCTGGAGCTTGTTCCCAGCCACACACATCTGCTTTCTTGAAATAATACAAATTGAGATGTTGGTCATATTGGTATGAGTTGTCAGCATTTGGAAATAGATTGTGTTTGCAAATGGCTTCCAGCAGAGAAATTTATATGCTTGAATGTGGTTGCATATTTTCCTTTGTGTCGTTGAAAAATGCTTTCCCCCTTTGAGGATTCAGCTGTTCTGGCTGGCTGGACAAAGACAAGCAAAGAAGACTCTGTTGATTATGAAAAGGCAAAGGGGAATGAAAAGGAGATGTGACATTTCTGCACTGCAGTAATTGGTAGTCATAAAAAAAAGAGATCCTTCTTTTGTGGTTTTTTAAAAAAATTATTTCATTTTACAATGTATATAAAACAGAGAACAATTATAACAACAGACAAAAATAAAAGATGAAAAATAAATCTATAAAATAGGCAGGATGAGTAGTTACACATGAGTTAAAACAACAAAGCCAAATTAAAGACAATCAACGTTATTAGATCATCAAGCATAGTTCCAGATTTGTCAAGATTGTGAAGAGGGTTGCCTTGAATATGATGGTTCCACTCTATATGTCATAAAGGAATGACACATAATAATAAAAAAGAAATGTCTGGAGGTCCTAGTCCTTGTCAAAATTTCATATGATATGTGATTTTATCCACTCTAGCTATATTCCAGAGTGAGCTGTACGAAGCATCCAGTGTAATATTTTGGGCTGTTTCCATTGAGTTGAGACTGCAACGCCTAGCTACGTAGAGTTGCTGACCAGAACAATAACAAATCCCCTTGTTTTCATCCTTTGGCTCTCACCACTGGACCTGATCCATTGCAAGGGATTAGACTTGGTAACCTTTTGGGTCCCTTCCAACTCTACAATTCCATGGTTCTATGGCCCTCTAGCCCCAGACCATAAATGTCCCTCCCCAGGCCCAAGCCAAATGCCAGATTTAAAAATAAATAAAAAGCCAAGGTTTACCAGGTTTGTATCCACCAAAAGCATCCCCACAAAAACAGTAGGTTATTGTGTAAATTTTTATCAGCCCTCAAAGGCAGCCCATTCTAGTGTGGTACTACTGGGTTTTTATTAAATTATGAAATGCCTCTTCTGATACTCTGGCAATTCCATTTATTGATTTAAAAACAAGCCACAAAGGAAGACACACCACCCACAGTCTTGTAGGGAGGCAGCCAGGACGAGCCCTGGGCTGGTACTGAAACGACAGCCTGAGTTTGGGTAGGGATGGAAGAAAATGTCATC